CATTTACTTTTTTTTTTTTTTTTTTTTTTTTTTTTGTTATCCTCCTTTTTGTTGCTTTACAACATAATTGAGGTCTACAGGAAGTGGATCTGTGAATCTGTCTTAATCGTTTTTTGTTCAGGTAAAAAAAATCCGTCATGTTGTACCCCCCCGCCCGCCCGCCAGCTCTCCTGAAGAAGAGGGGGCGGGGGGCTGGATCAGCTGTTGCTGTCATCAGGACGCAGAATTGGTTGTAGATTTCGCGTGCAGGAGACGTCAATCATTAGCAGATCAATAATATTGAGGCTTTTCCTTGCTACCACTTTGCTCCATTTAATTTGTATCTCCTCCTGAAAGCTGTTCTCAGTTTGCTGCTATAAGTGTCGCTTTTAGTTTGTAACACGTCTGTGAATGATTTTCACCTCGCATATGTGCATACTTGAACTGTGTTAAGAGGATTTTTTTGTTTGTTCTTATAAAATAAGACGCCCGCTGTGCTGTTCAAGGGAATGCAACACATTCTTCTGCCACCAACATTCAGCCTCCGTGTTTTTGTTTTTTTTGGTCTATTTCCCACCCACAAAACTTTTTTTGATTATTTTGATGTAAAAGTCCGACAGACCTATAGAGCAAAGGCCCAGTGCGCTGTGTAGTGAGAAATGTTCGTGCCAGCAGAAGTGTGCACGCTCCAGGTTGGCTGCGGTTGCAGCAAGATTTACTGCGGCTAGAGTTTGAGTGGATATATCCAAATGTTGTCATTGTCTAAATAAAACACTTACCTGTATGCTTTTGTGCCTTTTAAGCCCTCACAAATGTAGGCAACGTGGATCCCGGATTGGTAAGAATTTTATGTGCCGCAAGTGATAAGGGGATTGATAAAAATAATGCTTTAATTTAAACATTTATCCTGAATTGATTGTTGAAATGTTAGCTGTCATATGGGTAAAAAACAAACAGAGAAACTCAACATCAATTCAGAAACATTACAAGAGCATTAAAGTGCAGGAGAGGAGCTCCCATGGCTTGTGTGAAAGTGAAAGCAAGTGAGGAAGTGGAATAACAAGTTTCAAGTTTAATAAAAGAAACAAACACACCGCCCTCTGTTTTCATCTGCTGAACAGAACGGTGTGAAATATCAGGTACACACAACAAAACATGTTTTAATAGAAATACATCCATTAGTAAAGTAAAAGCCATATCATGTTTGGAATCTGATGCTAGGCTTCGTCGTTAAAAGATTGCCTGACAAGAACTAGTTCCTGCTGTGCGACCCATATTTCCTGTGGAGGGTTATGTAACTTTGGTGGAAGTGCAACAAGATGGAGACTGGAGGAAGGCGATAACACCCATGTGGTAATTGCCAAAGAAAGTGCGATATTTATATTTATGTAAGCATAGCTATAGATAGATAGATATAAAAACTTGGTAGTCACTTCATTAGTTACACTAATGGAGACAGGTTTTCCTTAAGAACTTCCCTAAGTCTTTGTGGCATGGATTTGACAAGGTGCTGGAAACATTCCTCAGAGATTCTGGTCCACATTAACATGATGACATCACAGCTGCAGCAGATTTATTGGCTGAAATCCAAGATGACGATGTCCTGTTCAACCACATCCCAAACAGATTGAGATCTGCTGACAGCGAGCTTGTCATGTTCAAGAAACCAGTTTTGCGACGTGTGTTATACAGGCACGATGGATACGCTGGTAATAAAAGGGATGAACATGGTCAGTAACGATATACAGGCAAGCTGGGGTGTTTAATAAACAATGCTCAGTCGATACTGAGTCTGAACTGCTGGTACAAGGCAGGATGGACCCATGCGTTCATGTTTTTTGTGCCAAATTGAGAGCCTATCATCCGAACGTTGCAACAGAAATGAAGGCTCTTCTGACTGGGCAGTGTGTTTGCAGTTTTCTGCAGTTTTGGTAAGCCACGTGTGAAGTTTTAGTTTCCTGTTCTTAGCTGACAGGAGTGACACCTGGTGTGTTCTTCTTCTGCTGTAGCTCATCTGCCTCCGGGTTCTGTGTTTTGTGTGCTTAAAGACGCTTCTCTGCATACCTGTGGTTATCTGACTTCCTCATCGGCACAAAGCAGCCTGTCCATTATCCTCTGACCTCTGACAATTCAGTTTTGTTTCAAAATTTCAACCCTAGAGTTCAATTGTAGGACAATACAAGATTTTGGAGTTATCAAATATGATTTCCCCCAGTAAAATGCAGAAATACAGTGGCCAGTGAGTGTATTTTAATGCTGTAGCAGGCTTGTGTTACAGTGTGCAATTACAATCTCACCTGAATGTGGTTAAAAGGTATGGAGGGAAGAAAGGATTGTAGTAATATGGATATTTTATTCATACAATTTATTTTGAAGGCCATCAGTTTGAATTTTACAAGGTTAATTAGAGAATGTCTTATGTTAATCTTGGTGCCCAGCATCAGTGGGGGAGGTGCATAAAACTGAACATACAGAACTAAAAAGTGTGCGTATCCACAAAGACAGAACATGCTGTCCTTCATCAGATTTATTAGCTCTGTTTGTGTATCGTTGCCTTTTATAAACCTCCAGCTCGGTAAGTTTCAAGCATGTGCAGGATCTCTTTTCCACTCCACAATTACTGTCACTTCTAACTACAGTCGCTTTTAAATGCCAAAAATAGGTTTTTAGTAATCACTACACATAAGAATAGGGTATGTGATTGCTTATATATATTAAAAATATAAGTATTTTAGGTATGAGTATTATACCAGTATACATACATCTATAACCACTGATGTCATTTCCCCCTAATTAAGGACCTGGAGGAAGTTCAATTCACTTTGTTTTTTTGCCATTATTTTCACACATTTGGAGTTTTTGTTCACTTTCAGGCTTTTATTAAAGCTTTTTTCTGCATTTCTCAAACACAAATTTCTCATTATCTATAGGAAATGTTGTAGCCTGAGCCTATTTATTCAGTCAGTCTCTGTTTTAGCAAAGCCTTTAATAATTATCCTCTGTTTACTTACAATTCCCCAAGCTCATGTGCTTCTTTTGCAAAACTAACCACATTCTTACTCACTGCAACACATTTTGTACTTGTGATGCACAACAGAAACCACAGGTGGCAGAATCAAAATATTTTTACAGTACGGATGTTTTTTTTCTTCCTTTCACATGAATCAAGGTTGCTCACACTTGTGGCTCATGGTGTGATGGTATCATATGAGCTGGATCAGAACAGACTCAAAGGCGAATTGAAGATCAACATCAAGAACTTAAGAGGAGGGATGTTTTATAGATGTTTTTAAAAAATTTCAGCAGAAATGTAACTTGTTGATGTATCCATTTTTTCACAGACGTGTTTTCATTTAGAAGAATTTTCCATTTCCCCTCCCAATACCAAGTGTTTGCAAGTCTTATAAGACACATGCATTGCTCTAGTAAAGATGTTTTAAATTTAATTCTTATAATTACGTTGCACAAGACTGTAAAATGTGTAAACAAATGAGATTGCAGTCTTATGAGACCAGCAATGCAATGCATATTCAACATGTGTATTATCAGAAGGAGAGGTGCTATTTGAAGAATTTACAGGAACATTTTGAACCAGTAGATGTTTGAAAAAAGGTGGAAAACGTTTTTTAAACTTCATTTTGATGCAATTAGCAAGTTTTGTGTGTCTGTGTGTGTTTTGTTTTTAAGCATTTTGATTGGGGATTTAATACTAGAGCCCAACTTATACAGTTTTAACACTGATACCAGTTGCACTGAACAAACTGTGCAACATCAACACCTTTCTTTTTATCTTTTCACTTTTAAATGCTTATAAACAGCGATACAGATAGATCAGCAAACAGCTGGTATAGCCTGATGATGTTGGTCTGCCGATGAGCTCTGTTAAAACCCCTGGAGGGTCTTAAGGACATTTATTGTCTTTTGAATTTTTAGTTTTAAACCATTTTCACTGTGTTGAGTGGATTAAAGCCAAATTTGTCAAATAATTTTTTTTTTTACTTTTTTTGTTTAATTGTGGTGTAAATTCATTAAATTAGCCTAAAATGGCTAAGCTACAGCAATGCATCCACCTTTATGCCTTTGGACAAAAATTGTCCCATTGACTTCCATTATAAACGCTATTTTTCACTGCAGAATTATTACCGTTAATGTCTTGGTCTTTACTTATGTTTCTGTTTCGTTTTGGTCATTGGGCCTTAGAGTTGTAATATTTTTATTTGTCCACCGGGTGGCGCCCTTGCTCCACATTTGATCCCTGCTGGAAAACAGCGGGCTGCTTGGAGAGACCTGCGGGAAATGAAGCCTCTTTTCCGGCGTGCAGCAGCGGCTTCGCCCGCTGATTTGGCGGGACCATTTTTTGGTCCCTAGGACCACGAGAGGGTGAA